ATAATACCCTCAGAGCGCTTGCTCTTATGAGTTGATTGGGATCCTTAAGAGCCCTTTGAAATGTTGATATGGAAAGAAGTGCCAAATCTTGTTGATCCTCTGCATAACGAACTAGATAAACGTATACTAGCTTTTTTACCTCAATATTCTTAGATACTACATTTTTTACAACAGCTGGAAACATTTCTGATGCATCTTTTCCTTTGGCCACCATCTGAAGGAAAATTATCGTTAGTATTACTATCAATCAAGGGCTATATTCTTGAAAAATATTGCATACAAAAATGTATGAAAATATTATATTGTACGTAGTTATGTAAATTTCTCTAGTATTTTCATATATTTTTCAAAAGTAAGGTCTTAAATCTAAATCATATAATTACCCCAATTATACGTTTCATGGCTTCTAACTTGAGTCCATCCTTGTTACTGTCCAGCATCTCCTTAAGATCATCGTGCCTGAAACAGATATACTTTTGTGAAAATATCCATCTGTGTTTGGAGAATACACTATCAGTGCTATTCTTCTGTTCAATCCTGTTTTACATATAATAAATAATAATAGTTGCTTTTTATTTATACGAGAACTTGGTTTCTCACTTGTGATGTCATAACTCAATTGAATCCTTTTCATTCTAATAAGTAAGATTCAACTAAGTTTTTTACAATCTATACAAACTGAAGACTATTTGCTTTACAGAATGTTAACTCACGTTAAAAGTGAGGTTATAAATCTGTGTTAGGTTACTCAATAACTTTGTCACCAACGTAACCAAGTAATGACATTATCTGAATATAAAATATTCACATAACTTTAAATACTTAGTATCACTTATGTGAAAACAGAAAGCAAAAAGATGTGACATAAGGATATTGATAGAACATTCCTCAAATGCAACTTGTATGTCATATTAAACATAAATGTGTTTCTACTAATAAAATAGAAAGATAACATGATACAGATGAAAGTACAATTCCGTATTTATGACAGAGGGATTTCAGTATGTTGCAAGCTGACAATATTGTTGTTTAAGTAATATTGTTCTGCGGTTAAAGGGGCGATTTTGTAGATAAACGAGATCACTCAATGAATCACTTTTGAGCTAATTACTTCTTGTATTCGGGATGAAATAATCCACTCATGAAGGAAGGAATTTCCATCGTATCAAAGAGATCTGCATCTGGAGTGGACGGCCTCTCGACACTGTAAGAGCCACCATTATTGGACATACTCGCGGCTGCCGTCAACATTCTTCCGTTTTATCTTATCGCGAAACAACAATTCTTTTCCGAACGTAAAAAAAAAGAGAGACCAAGTATTCCGAAATTATCCACGCGTCAGGACACTCGTACTCCGATTTTTGACAGCCGACTTTAGCGAGCGGCCATATTGTTTCACGATTCCACATCACGGAAAGTGTAGCTGCACTGTCATACACTTTCCGCGCATCAATACCACCGTCCGTGGGCGTCTTCAGCTGAACTTCTCGCATTGTTCATCTTTTCTCTTTTTCTCTTCACGTTGAAGAAAAAAAGAAAAAAGATGAAAAATGCAAAATATTTATATTAGATATTTATACTAGAAAAAGAACAGGTCTAAATTATATCGCGAAACGCACCGCAGCGAATATTACGATTGATTACGACGATATCGCGGATATCGAAGAGATAGCAAGTGTTTTAATAATCGGATTAGTCGCGCACGCTGATTGGTTGATTGCGAGACGCTACAGCGCTTATCGTTTGTTCCTTGCGCGGTTTATTTGTAGATATCGGACGAGAGGAAGATTAGAAAATTAGATTAACGTTACGTCACGATTTACTTAACGGACTGTTATATCTCAAAAGATATTTCAGCTCAAACGCGTTATTCATTAAAATAATTTCGCCGTTGCTTTTGCGTTTCAACAGCGCGGAGTATAATATACGATGTTATTGTCGAATTGCACGATTTATATAATGCGATCAAGTACAATAAAGTACATAAACATAATTTGTTAAGTAACAGAATGCAGGAGTGTGTTGATTGCTTTTGCATTTCGCGGAATTTACATGCTCAAGTTCTATCATGAATGTGTTTCGAGCGCATAATTTTTGAACGATCCATTAAACGATTGCAGTTGACTCGGCGTTAACTTCGTGTTTTAACTTCAAAAATGGCGTAGAAAGTACGGCGCAATCTTATCTGCGTTATTGCGAGTGTCATGTCGAGGAAAGTTTTATCACCCAGCAAACGAGAATGGATTAAAATGGATTGAAATTTTTTCTATCTATAAATGTGTGTGTGTGTGTGTGCGTATTTTAAATAGCAAATACTTTTTTTTGGATTTAATTCGATTCAGTTGGATTCAATTGGATTGAAAAACTGCATTTCCTATTCAAAATTTTGAACTAAATAATATTTTCACAATGCACAGAAAAAGCTATGTATTACTTTTAGATTGAAAGGCATAGAGATATGCTCCATGCAATTCCTATAAATGAATAAAAATGCATTCAGGATTGAAAAGCATTCATTTTAACATTCGTGAATCAATATTTCTGAAAATCTGAATCCATTTCAATTCATTTCAATTCGTTCTCGTTTGCTGGGCAAACCGACAACTTAGTTAGGGTCTGAGAGAAAATGGTGAGTGTAATTAATTTATATATTGTAATGTATTCCATACAGCGCACTTTATACATCCATCCGAGAGATGAAAGTATCCTAGAAAAAGATGAGTTAGTTGAACACCGATCTGTAGAAGTTCCGTTTACATTTACTGTCATTCGTCTCCTTTATAGGGTCTAGGAATCACAAATAGTCGTAGAGTCTCAGTTATAGTTACAAGAAATCTACCGATTATGATCAAATGTATTTAGGATAATAATCAACTATAATAGATCAATTTTTTATTTCTTGAGATCTTAGAACCGCCTTCGATTTTCATTATGGATAGCTCCGCATTACATTCGATTTATGCTCCATTTTTTTTGTTCAGGACTGTAGTGTCAGTGTTGTTACATTATTGTTCTCTTACACAGATTCTATATACATAAAAAAAGCTGTATAACGAAACCGTGTTATACAGTTTACAGTAGTGAAATCTATTGTTCCTTGTTGCTATTCTTGTGCTTTTCAATTGTGTCTCAGGCTTTAGAGAATAACAACCCATTTTCTACTATTCTATTGCCTATACCTCTTTCAATCTAATCGTATATTTCAGTGATTCAGAAATAACGATAGAGAAAATCGCATCGAAGGAATCTAACGAAGCTAATGAATAAACTGAGAGGAAGAGAAGAGACCTATGAGAGGTATCAGACCCAGGCAAAGCAGTCTTGCGGTAAATATTATTTTTTCTTATGGAAAAATTAAATTGATTTTTTTATTTATTTAAATTGTTTTTATTTCAATGTGTTTAAAAATAATTACAAGGAAAAGAGTAAGAATAACATTTTATAAAAAAATTTATTCTTATAAAGATCTTTGGAATATATATGATTATTTTGATAAATATAATTGAAAAATAAATAAAAATTTTGTGTAAAAATTTTTCAAGAAGTATTGGTTATTTTAATCGAGCTGTGCTTTAATTTAAAACTTTTATCTCTCCATATGTTGCAGAATCGTCGTAGCTATGTAGCTGATTAACTCCACTGTTGCGCATCGATTGGTGAGCAAAAAAAATTTGTACGAGTTAATAGATCTTCTATTTGTTTTGGATAACATATTTTTATTAAAATAAATGCGATATGTTATTCAAAGTTCAGATTTCCAAACTGATCAATAATTGTTAAAATCAAACAGTTAAAAAAAAATTTATGCACGCGATATAAAATTCATTCTAATTAAAATATCTCGAGAATAATTAACAATCGCATGGAAATTTTTATTTAAATGGTTTATAATTTCTATTTATCATCTGCATTTAGTAAAAGAGAGTGAAAAATTGCTTTGTAACATTACCGTCTTCTCCGTTTTGTTTTTTCTTGGTATATATTTTGCAGAAATACTATTAAAATATTCTCGATGTTTTTTTTCTAAATTTTTAATATATTTTTAAACTTAAATTATTCCAATTTTTAATTATTTTTGTAATACATTGTTATGCAATTATACTCTATATGTAGATAGTTTAGAATAGAATCAATGTACGTAACACAGAACAAAATTGGAAACCATTTGGTGAATGTGTTACCCTCCTGAAATATTTAACTGCTTAGTTTTTTCACGTGCTTGTTTTGGACAAATAGAAGAGCTAATAAATATATTTTATTATATTAAACATGGGCACGTCCACTTTCAGACTTCTTTCTGGAAAGGAATTTTAATGTAGACAAGTTCATATCGGCAATGAATTAAATTTTATTAGTAATTAATAATACTCTTTAGTTATTATCAGATTTGTTACTTATAAAAATGAATCTAAAACTAGCTATCTATAGTAATATCTTCATCTTTATTATAAAAATTATATCAATGTATCTATGAGATTTTATCCGCTAAATGTGTTTAAAGATTTAAATGATTTATGACAGAAAACTGTAATAACCCTAATGTAATAACCCTACAGAAATATAATATTGTATTAAACAATTTAATACTGAAAGATAATAATTATTTAAGTATTAAAAGCATTCTCTGAATATTTTTAGTACTCTAAATAATTAATTACTGTCTTTTAATAAATAATAAATGAGTAGTGTTAAATTATGCATTTGCAGATTTCTGTTCATAAATTTTACATGTATATGCCTATAACTACATGAGAATTATAGCTAGATTATGTTTTTAAATATTACATAAATAATAAATTTAACGTTCTTACAATATTTCATAGAATATTATTTTGTTCTTGAAGAAAAAAAGAAAGAATGAAAGATAAGAAATAGGACATTCAAATGAAATGATTGTGTTACATTTAAATAAAATAGTATCCAACATTAGAACAACTATTTTGTCAAAAAAATTAACAATTTGATTATTTCACATATTTAAATAAGTTTTTGATTTTTTTTCAAACTTTATTAAGATCTGTGAAATAATTGCTACAGAGGTTGGGAATTTTGATAAGTAAGGCTTGTGTAAATGATTTAAGTGCTACTTTTCCATCTTCTTTTTTTGGTAGTATTAAGATTGCATTAGCTTCTAAGGCACTAATCAACTTATCACTGATGGCATTTCCCTTGCAATGAACTAATGCGCAGTTTCTTTCCGGGATCCATCTCAAAATTGTCCATGTCGCTCTAGAACGACTATGCAAGACGTACTCAGATTCCATCTACGGGGTTATAAAATTATAACAATACAGATCGCGTTTTTCTTTTCATAACATACGAGATTACGATAATCTTACAGAAGCTGGTACTATAGCATATTCCGTGTAGAAGTTGAAGTACATCTCGTTCAAAAAGGACAAAAGAAATATTCGCGCGGTAATTAAAGCGGATACTGGGTTTCCTGATAGACACCAGAAATATTTCTTTGTGTTATCAATCTCGCACGTTGCAAATATCGTTGACTTCCCCGGTTTGATATTTACGTTTCCTAGAGAAATGCGTTTAAGTTTTAAGCAGAAGGCGTATATTTCTCTTTCAATATATTTAATTATTACCGAAATGTATGTCTGCTTTGTAATATTCCTCCAAAATAGGTTTCATTAAATCTCTGTTATTAGTCGAGCCTGTTGTCACAAGTATATCTACTTTCTTTAAAGCTTCATCAATTTTATTTTTTATAGATGCCATCCTGAAATATAAATTATTCATTGAATTAATTATTATATATTCGATGGAAAAATTAAAATCAATTACAATTAGTAAATTGAGTAAAGAGTATTAGCATACAAATTGGAGATAAATTTTAAATATTCTCACATATTATTCACGATTCCGAAATCCAATGAATTGTAACCCTGCTCTTTAAGTAATGTAATTAGAGTAATTCGGTTAATATCGTAAACAAATCCTGATGTTAAAATTTCTCCAGGTTCCTTTAAATTATTTCCTATAGATAACACACCTATAGGTATATTTTTAATGACTATGACTTCTTTGCGACCAGAAGCTGTTAAAAGTCCAATCTCCAATGGGCCAATACGCGTATACGGAGTTGCGACAGTTTTTCCTTTCATTAATTCGTAACCAACAGGTCTTCAAGACAGATAAACAGACAAATAAATTAATTCGTTTTATAAAAAGATAAAATCTATATCGTTACGTTTATTGAAAATATTGAATTTCATACTTAATATTTTCGTTGAATTGTGGTTTAATTAATATGTCAACATATGTATTATGACTGTCTTTAGATTTTTTTATTTGATTTACATCCTTCACTTGTACAACCGCTGTTGCTTCTATAATTGGAACAGAAACGACAGTTAATTCTTTACTGTAAATAGATTACTATTAGTAATGTGTATAATTATTTACCATCGGGAATAGGATCTCCGCTATTTACCCACACGCATGTCCCAGGTTCAAGCGACATCGAAGAGAACTGAAAAAGTTTTGTCTCGTAATTCCAGTTTGTTACATATGTATATACGAGTCTGATACAACTTACCATATTTTTCTTGTCCTGCTGCAGCACTTTCCTAAAACCTTTTCCATCAATTACTCGTACTGCGTATCCGTGTTTAGTGGAAATATTAAATGGTGGCAAATTATAAGTAGATTCCACATTCTCGTACAATATTCTACCATAAGCATCATTTAGCTGCACTGTTTCAAAAATAATTTTATTTTTATTTTCACTTATTATTTCACGTATCTTGGACAGTGCATCTGCTATAGAAATCATAGGAAATGATTCTTTAGGGCGTTTAATCGTACTCGCGTAATCGTGCTTCTGTAAGAAAATTTAATTGTACTTACAATATCATAAAATTTTTACTTCACTTTCTCTAATACAAAAAATATTTTAATTCCAAACTTACAGGAAATAAATAAGATTTTCTGTGGCGCTTTACGGCAGTTTTGATCTCTTTCTGTATTAAAAACCTTAATATGTAATATAATGTCATAAAATTGTATGTTATTACTAACAAGCAATACTTTACCTGCTTCGTAAAATTATCGCTGGAAGTAGAAGCAACGTCATGTAGCGAAATATTTTGATCTTTGTCTATACGTATCAAATATATCGTTTGCAGTATCATATCTGCAATTGCTGCAAAACATTTTTTTATATTTTTGTGTAAACCAGACAAATCAACAATTAATGTTTGATTTCGTATTCCAAATATAGTTCTGTAAACAAATCATAATTATAAAACTTATAATGATAAAAATCTCAACTTAAGTAGAAATAAAAATTCACTTATATGACATAATCTCGTTCAGACTCATTTCTATGTTTAATAACGATCTTGTTACTCTTTTAGAAACTTCTTGGCTATCGCTAACACTTTTAATTGCTTCTTTTACAAGTTGTCCGTTAACAGATTCATTATTACCAATAATAAGAATAACATCAGCCTCATTGCACGCAATAAATAATTCTATCTATATCATATAAATAAAATAAATTTAATGATAAATATAACACGAAGAAGATTTAATATATTTGTAATTACCGTTATATCAGTTTCAATTGGGTTTATTACAGTCATGTCAGATATTTGTATATTTGCAGTCTTAGTTGATAGCACATCTCGAATGTCATTACTGTTATCAACATTAATATTTTTATCTGATGAACCATTGTTATTAATACCACCTACAACTTTAATAATCTCACATTAATTATATTCTATGTATTAAGTAATCATAACAGAATTAGTATTTTGGAAATTATGACACGAATATTAAGTCTGATGATCAAATGTATTTTGTATTAATATATTTAGTTTAATACACAGAAACTGTTAAATTCTGTTAAATGTGACAAAATTATAAAATATGTAAAAATTAATTGTATTAACTTATGTACTATATAGAAATATTAATGATCAAAGAAACTGTCACAAGATATATTATTTTTAATTTTTTAATTTAGCATATATAATATAATTTTTATTACAATTTGTTATTTAAATAATTAGACTTTATTTAAATATGCACACAATTTTCCTTAAGAATAGTATAATATGTATGAAGAATGTACAAAACATACTTGCAATAATTTCAAATTTGACTACCATTTCACACTCTTCTATCGTTTTATCGTATATTGACAGTTACCGCAAGATTTTACTGTTTTGCGCGTATTATGTTTTGTCGCACGTTCGTCGAACGTTGGGCTTCTAATCGAAATAGGTCACAGAAATATTTCGATGACAAATTGTTTATATTTCTTCTTATTTTTTAATAGTAAGATTGTATTCGACAATGTCAGCTTCGTTTTCAACATATGTTTAATATACTGCGGATCTTTTCATGTTTTAAATAACGAATATTTACACACACACACACACACACACAC